AGCAGCGGTACAGATCGATTCACACTCCGCACGCGACATGCTCAGTGGCGATGAGCGTGAGCGCCGACCTCTGGCACCGGCGCCTCGGCCACATCAATCCGAGTGCTATGGAGATTTTGCGGCGCAACCCCGCTACAGGTCTGAAGTATGTCGGATCTGTATCCCCGTGCGACAACTGCTACATCACGAAGCATAAGAAGGCTCCCGTCCCGATGAAGACCAGCCGTGTCCTGATCAAACCAGGCCAACTCGTCCGGTTCGACAACATGGAACCAATCGACCCGCCTGCGAAGTACAACGGACGTACCTACTCCTACCTCGCCAAAGCGACCGAAGTATTTACCAGAATGCGGGACGTGTACCTACTGCGCCACAGAACCGAAACCACGCAAGCTCTGCACGCCTACAACATGCAAGTAGCATCTGAAGGCTACCGCATCGAGGTTCTACGCTGTGACAAAGGGGGAGAGAACACTGGGGAAGAAATGCGCAACTACTGTAGGGAGTCTGCGATCAAGCTGGAATTCGCCGCGACCAACACGCCCCAAGAAATCGGAGTGTCAGAAAGGGATGGCCAGACACTTGCGGCTGTGACTCGAGCTCTACTGCGCGATGGAGACTTCCCAAAACACATGTGGGGGGAGCTCATGATGACTGCAGCATACCTGACCAACAGGACCCCACACGCGGCGCTAGGGGGAGCCACGCCGTATTCCAAGATGTACAACACAACCCCGGACCTTTCTCGACTTCGTGCCATCGGCTCCCGCGCGTTCGTTCATCACGAGCGATACAAGAAGAAGCTAGACGACCGGGCCTTTGAAGGCAAGCTCTGCGGTTACGGACCTGACAGCAAGACGTACCGGATCTACGTGGAGGGCAAAGACAAGGTCTACGAGAGCCGGAACGTGACTTTCATCGAGACTCCACCCAACACCATCCCCCCTCACCGGTGGGACGACCGTCTCGGATATGAACATGACGTGATGAACTTCACGTCATTGCTCGGACGCGGTACCTCTACGGGCGACGAAGACAACAAAGTGGACTACGGAACACAATCAGAGCTCCTACTGCACGAGATGCGCAACATGCAGCCAGACAACATCAACCGAGCAGAACTTCGCCAAATCAACGCGGGCACGGATTCCGACGACTACTTTGCTGATGGGGGAGATGACAGCAATGAATGACAACTCGCGGACTACGACACCATCCAGGACATCGCAGGACACGACACTCGAATCACCCACGACGCCAACAGACACGGACTCCGCTTTGCCAGCCCCGATCCTAATGCGTCGATTAACGGTGACCCGTCTTGCCACGCGCACTCACCAACCCACAGATGACCCTATCGACCCTTCATGCATCCCGAAATCTCTGGAAGTGAACATGAACGACAGNCCACCAAGCGCAGCAACGATGCCCTACCGACGCGGCGGATTTTTCTCACCTGGATAAAGACCCCTTCGCCGAAGTCCGGGCGTATCCTTACGCCACAGGCACCTCGACCAAAGGGTTCTTTGGGGAGACAAACCAAGAGATCAAAACTTCGAGCACGTATACCAACAGAGACGTCTACGTCAGGCCGGCGCCAGGCGATGAGCAGAGGGACCCCAGGACAGGTGAAATGATGGTCTACGAACTGGAGAAAAGTATGTACGGCCTGTCACAGTCCCCCTCACTGTGGAACGACACCATCAATGACCGACTCATCATCTTCGGCTGGCAGCGCACTCACTCTGACCCCTGTGTCTACACCTTCGTAAGCGGGGACGAACTCACAGTCCTCGCGATCTACGTCGATGACATCCTCATCACGGGCGGAAACAAGGAGATCGTCAACAGGAGAACGAAGGGACTCATGGGACAGCTTCGAAATGACAGACATTGGAGAGGTCAAGCGCGCAATCGGCATCGAAGTGCAGCGGGACTACGAACATGGCACACTAGCCATATCGCAAGGACCCTACGCGAGACATATCCTTCAGCGATACGGAATGGAACAGGCAAGCCCGGTCAGCACCCCCCGGTAAGGAGCAGAACTATCAATCGAGCAGCCACAAGACCAACTACTCGGACCCGAGGACAAGCAGAGATTCCAGGCCATCACCGGGAGTCTCCTGTACCTTGCCCAATGCACCCGCTACGATCTGTCATACGCAGTGCACCAACTGACACGGGCATGCGCAAACCCAGCACAGGTCCACATGGCTGCGGCCAAGCACCTACTACGGTACCTACGCGGAACGCCAGACCTGCCGATCGTGTACAAGAAGGGGCAGTTCAGACTCTCGTGCTTCACTGACTCGTCATTTGGAGCCAACCCAGACAACGGCAGGTCTACCACCTGATACCTGTTCTTCCTACGAGGGGGACTGATCAGCTACGGATCCAAGACACAAACTTTCGCAGCACAGAACACCGTGGAGGCCGAACTTCAAGCGCTGAGCTTCAGTGCTCGCGAGGCAGTCTACATCTCCAACTTCATGACGGAAATCGGATTCAAGACCTTTCGATCGGTACCCATCAACAGCGACAGCACCGGAGCATTGACTGTAGCCAGCAACGTGATGTCCAGCTCTAGAACCAAGCACATCGCGGTCCGGTTCTTCTTCCTCAGGGGATTCACGAAGGGGCACCGGATCATTCTTCACCACCAACCTAGTGCCACGATGTTGGCGGACATCGCGACGAAACATCTCCCGAAGCAGCGATTCGCCACCATCATGCAACTCATCAGGGACTAGTCTACAAGTGCTAGAAGATATTAAGCACAAGATCGCATGGCATGGTTGAATGTTTTGAACGCGTGTATTGCTCACAGGATGGATTCACTCATATGGAGGTCGATATTCTTTGATGTGGATTGGGAATTGAGGGGTCGAAAAACTTGGGAACGAACTGAAGCTTTTCTTTCTTTTTCTTTTTGGAACATCGGCTACTTGCCTAATCNGTCTACAAGTGCTAGAAGATATTAAGCACAAGATCGCATGGCATGGTTGAATGTTTTGAACGCGTGTATTGCTCACAGGATGGATTCACTCATATGGAGGTCGATATTCTTTGATGTGGATTGGGAATTGAGGGGTCGAAAAACTTGGGAACGAACTGAAGCTTTTCTTTCTTTTTCTTTTTGGAACATCGGCTACTTGCCTAATCGAGGGGTCGTGCCGAGGAAAATTGTTACAACGTAGTTAGACACAGTTTACCATAGGTGCGACTGCGGCAACTGGCCTTTCGTGGACATAATACAGAAAGAAGAGATGGTACTTGTTCGTGTGTCTGGATACGAGCATGGTAGATCTGCTATTAGCAGCACGGGGGGGCTACTATGTATGGGCCCCCTTCCCCGAATTCGGGAGGACCACTTCTTCCCTTCCTTTCCTCGCTCCCGCGGGTGCCTAATCAGAGAGAG